TTTAAGTTACTGAATTCCTGTGACAAAGAATTATAAACACGAATTCCGTTGAATGAGAAAGATCTACGAAACAAGGCACTCTGACGATGTGTTACCGTTAGTCTGTCGAGGTTATGGATGATTGTAATAAGGAATACGTTGAAATGAAAAGCTCTTCTTTGTTCCATTTTAAGCCAATTAAGTTGACGATATGCAGCAGATACATGGTCATATAAACCCATAATAAAACGAGCAAAAGCATTCTGCAACCTTACACTCGTTATCACTAAAAAAACCATACACTACGTCACAGTAGTTAAAATGTGAGAGAACAAGTGACTCACATAATTGTTTCCTTAGTCTACAATTTGAAATATGCCTGTTACTATATAAGATTTTTAGATAGAAATGTGACTTTTGAAAGATATTTTTTAAATATTCACGACATTTTTTATGGGCATGAGTAAGTTCACTTGTATCCATGCCAAATGTCAGATATGATGACATCAGAGTAAAAGACTTATTTGATTGGTTGTATCGAAAACCTTCGAGAAATCTATCGGCACAAAAACGGTACTCATTTTCTTATAATACTGTCGAAAAATATCAGCCAATACATTAACCAATGCTACTTGTGTGTCCCATTTAATAGTAGAATTAAAATTCTGCAGAAAGTTTTCATGATAAGTTTTGGATTTTCATTGCTGTATGCATAAGCTCTTTCGTCAGCGCGATTTGGCAACGTTGGGACGCAGGGCAAGCGACGCTCCGGGAAATAATTCTTCCGGCGTATTTTTCGCCGAATTTGGGTCACCGCTAACCCCTTTGTTACCGTAATCATAGACAGGCGTCTCTTTATTGGTTAGTTAGTTTCCTACGTCGCCGTGGCGGTTTACACACCCTTAGGGTAATGGAGGTACGAATGGGGTGATATACGCATGCAAATGCAACGAAGATAAGCCCTATAAACAAGACCCGAGACAAGGGAGTCAGGTTCCAAAAAATCCATATTTATCATGTACAATCTGGGATTAACTTTTGCACCAGTGACATTTCTCCCTTCAGATTAGATAGTGATCTGCGGAACTTGAAATAAGCATGGTAAACAAAAAATCATCGGTTATTTTTTTTTACTTTGTCCTAAAACTATTTCAACCTGAGTCTGCTCTTCTTTTCAATAATTTCCACATTAGAGTTATTAAGCTTTCCATCACAGATTACGCTTCACCACAACCTTCCAAAGCAACCCCAGACTTGCCACTTTTGCCCTTCCTTACATTCAAAACATCAAAACCAGATTTTCCAGTTGTCGAAAAATCTCTCAACATCTTCGATCCGTCAAAGAGAACAAAGGGTCCATCTTGAAAAGAACCCACCAAAGCAGAACAATTTCCTAAAACACCTAGGTGTAACTTTGGACAGGATTCTCAGTTACAAGCAAACATTGCAGCTAAGCTAAGGACTAGAAACAATATTCTACAAAAATGATAAGGGTTGTCTTGAGACTCTGCAGTCTTTTGGGAGGTTTTCAATCTATTCAGTTTTCCCTAAAATTATGAAACGTTCATTTAGCGCAACTTATAAATTCTTACTATTTAAAAATCTTCTGCATCCCATGTGCATTGCCTGTTTATCAATAAAACTTGCTGACGTTTCGCCAATCATCCTGTTTGCTTCAAAAGAAATATAACGACCAAACCAGTTTTACCACTTATCCAAAAATATCTGTAGTGTGTGAATTTATTAAGAAAATAACTAAAAATAAGATGAAATTTTATGATTACTATCTGATCTAAATGTGTATCCACTTATTTTACTTTATTTTTAGAGCTGAAACTTACTAAAATTTAACTGGCTCCAAGTATACCATCAGTGTGTTGTGGAACGCTCGACAATCTGACAACGTGGCTGCCGTTTCTTAACGAATTTATGGCTCAGCGGGGAGATTTATGCGGACTGCACCGGACTTTTTTCCATTAGTACCCCTCCGCGCCCTCCCACCCCCGGAACAGTTAAATAAATCATAAAACATGTTCCGAGCGTTGGGGGTTGAAGGGGGTCCTGCAAATGTATTCCGCCATATTTTAATGTAAGCGCTGAATCCCCCCCCCCAAACGCCACAAGGAACACGGTCGCTCGGGGGCGGTTTTTTTTAGATCTCTACAATCCCATCTCGGTGTAATAAGATGCAAGAAATGATTTTCTGTCTCGAGTTAAAAGAGCCAACGAGATACATAAACCTGTAGACAAAGGCTATTCTTTTAGATTTTCCACGGTTTTTTGGACATTGCTTTGAAACACGATAAGTGAAGCTATCTACTTAAAAATTGGCACAGATATGGGGCCTCTTTCCCTAACGAAGCCTTTTGAAACTGGGATACCTGGGGGGTCGGGAACTATTTTTTAAAATTTAAAAACCACGTGTACAAGGGATCAAGAACTTTTTTTCTAACATGAAAAAATCCTGAACGGAAAGACACGCTACATCCAGACCTAAAAATCATATCAGATGGAGGGGTGAAGGGCCGGATCAGAAAAAATAATTTAACGGTTGTCGACCGCCGGTGGCGCAGTCGTTGGGGATTTTCTAATAACGATGAGAGAACATAACCGCCGTTTTCATCCCTTTCCGGCTCTGCCCGGAGGGTTGCACGATGTCATCGACACGAGTCGCGGCGGTAAACGGTCTAAAACGAGTCGCGAACACTGTAATTGCAGACGGTTTAATGAATTATGGGGAAGATTTACTGCCTAAGGCCCTTTGCGCGCGAGAGCCAGGATGTGACTTCAGAATCGGCCGCTTTATTGGTCACTTTGTACAAATATAAATACAACGATGGCAACAAAGGGTGCCCCGAGGCGTATTAGCAACAAATATTGTGTTATGTTTTTGAAATTAAACAAATCCCCGTAATATGGATTTCGTCCTAAATAGCAAAGTCACTAACTATTTACACACTTTCACTAGGCACACTTTAAATACTTTTTTTTATATCTTCCGATTATTTATATTTTCGCGCCCCGGTTCTCTTTTGAACTGACTGATTGACTGAAGTAACAGTTGACCCGAAGGTAATTTGTAATAGGTTTCGTACAACTCTCGATACTTATAAGGTGTCCCACACTGCACGCCAGGCACGCTTCTGCGAGGATAGTTTTTTGGTAACCAGGTAAAAAGTAAATAAAATGTAAAGTTAAAAGGTAAAGGTAAGAGGTAAAGGTAAAAGGTAAAGATAAAAGGTAAAAGGTAAAAGATAAAGTAAAAGTAAAAGGAAGATGTAAAAGGTAACTGTAAAATGTAGAGGTAAAAGTTAAAGGTCAGAGGAAAAGATAAAAAGTAAAAGCAAAAGGCAAAGGGAAAAGGTAAAGGGAAAAGGTAAAGGGAAAAGGTAAAAGGAAAAGGTAAAGGTGAAAGGTAAAGGTAAAAGGTAAAGGTAAAAGGTAAAGGTAAAAGGTAAAGGTAAAAGGTAAAGGTAAAAGGTAAAGGTAAAAGGTAAAGGTAAAAGGTAAAGGTAAAAGGTAAAGGTAAAAGGTAAAGGTAAAAGGTAAAGGTAAAAGGTAAGGGTAAGAGGTAAAGGTAAAAGGTAAAAGTAAAAGGTAAAGGTGAAATGTAAAGGTAAAAATATTTTGTGAAATAGTTGGAATAAATATTAATGAAACCATTTTTGTTAATGTATTAGCTAAGATAATTATTTATTGGATTTTGTGTTCTGTCGCACATAATTTTAGTGGCCAAGCTGAAGCTTTAAGTCATTTAGCAATTTAAAATATACCAAAACTTCAAGTGTCATTTCATCACATTTTGCCCCTCTCACAACGCACGGATAGCAAGTGAACTTTTGACTGAAGAGTTTGGATAATGTTGGATTGGAAATAGAGGCCCTGTTCTGTCGCCAGCGAGATCGTGTGATCTACCTCTAGATTTTTTTATGGGGGAGATTAAAAATATATTTTATTAAAAGATAGAATTTTCCAAATCAAAACAGAGTTGGAGAAAGTCACTCGAGAAGTATTTGCTTCCGCCATTCCTACTAACATTCCTATACCACTACGAAAAAGGTTCAGTGTATTGAAGAGGGCACCGCCCAGTTTGAACATTTAAGTCAAAATATTTCAATACAATTAATTTACTATGTTCTATTCTAATATTTATTGTGATTTGCTTCTTAGGTTAAATAATAATAATTTTGTTATCTAAATACTAGACAATATTAAAATTAAGTATTAAAAATTATACCTGAAATTCAAATCAAAATATTAAATAGTTATCATGCTTGGTGTTTTTCATTTAAAATTTAAAGTAAATAAAATGGCCTCTTTATTTAAAAAAATCATAATGTTTATTAAATTATTTTAAACGTTTCCATTCTATGGCGCAGACAAAGCCCTCGGTCTCAGAGAAGATGTTGCTATCCGTGAGCCAAGCCAGAGATGCAGTTTTGTCTATCTGATCATTCATCAGGTTGATGTATCTGCCGTGAAGCTTTTTTTGTTTCCATCTGCCTATAAGAGCAGGGATTGCAGGGATTATTATTATTATTATTATTAATTACTCTTATTATTATTATTACTATTTTTGTCATTGTTGTTGGAGGTGTGTAGGTCTTAAAAACTGTATTAGGAAATTTTTAAAATCATTCTTCATAATTTGTCGTTGCAAATCTTCATTTTATCACTCTCTCTCATTAAGTATTGTCCCGTGAAGGACCAGCCCCGCGTGCCGCCAAAAACCAAGTCCCGAAATCCGAAAAACGCGGTTCCCATAACCTGAAGCCGACGATTCACCCGCCGATTAAAACCCGATACATCACTGCGGAGTCTCTCCCCCATTATGACGGGAGTGTATTTGGCGCTCGAATCATCCCGGAGTCACTTAGGGACAAAACACCACTTTACAAAGAGTGACAAACTGGATCGCGCGCCAGAGGAGACCTGCGTGCACGCGAGTTGCGCGCACGCGCACACCCATCTGTTGCTTTGGCGCGAACGTAGAGTCCGAGCGCTCAGTGTTTCCCCGTCGCTCTATTTCGGCTCTACTACGACCCGCTCCTTGGTGGTGGTTTGTTAAGCTCGCGTTTTACGTCGCGCGTAATTTACGATCTTTTTTTGCGGCTATGCGTTTTTGGTGACGCGAAAAGAATACTTTTTTTTCTGATCCGAGGTGGACTATGGTCTGCGACGTTTAGTGGCGTCGGACTGTGTTCTTTGTTCTTCAGGTGGTACTACTCTGAAAGCGACATGTTTGGGAACGTCGTAGCAGTCATGGCGGGGCTGGCCCTTTTGGCCGTGAAAGGTATCTTTTTGTCTTACAGAGTGAAGAAAAAAATGAAAATTTGCAATGTATTTTTTAATTTTTTAAAATTTCGAATATTGATGTTTGCAAGATAAATACCGTGTTTTTACCAAACCAGCAAATTACACGCAAGGACTGTGAGAAGTAGTGAAATTTCCCTTCGCGCGAAAATGTTTGTATAAGGCGTTAAATACTTTTTCAAAAATTTAAAATTTGAAAAAACAAGCAATTAATTTTAAAAATTTTAAGTTAATTATATTGTTTAGACTTAAAACCTATTAATTATATTAATAAGGTTTATTTTATCTAGACAATTAATTACTCAAATGAAATGAAACGTAAAAAAGAAGCTAATAATATTGATTTGCTACAAACTTTAAGATCTATCTCGCTTTCATTTCTTTTTCGTCTTTTCTCCTTCTTATTTTTTTCTGAAGAGGTCAGTTTTTTTTTTAATACAGCGAAAAAAAATTTTTTTTTCAATATTTTTTGTTATTTTTAAAAAATTTGAATTTTTGATATTTGCAAGATCAAAACCGCACTTTTACCAAACAAAAACAAAACACCCAAAGACTGTGACAAGTAGCGACAAGTATCCCACTTACCCTTGCGCTACAATGTTTGCAAAACGCGTTAAATATTTTTGAAAAAAATTTTAGGCTGAAAGCCTATGAGATATAGGGAAAAATCCTTTCTGCCTTGTCTAGAAAATTAATTACTAAAAGTAATGAAATTTTATGTAAAAATAAAAGCCAATATTATTGATTTGTTACAAGCTTGGGCCCCAGGCTTTACAATTGTCTGCAAGTTAGCGTAAGCTATATGACATAACTATATAACTTAAAAATATCTAATGAAAAAGCTTAAGATAGTGATTTTCACTAACTTTGAGACAGAGTGGAAAAAAATGAAAATTTTCAATATTTTTTGTTATTTTCGAAAAATTTGAATATTACAATATCAAGACCGCGTAATTACCAAACCAAAAAATAACACGCAATGAAAATTAGTGAAAAGTGATCCGCTTTCTTTAAATAATTCATTAAGATTTAAAAAAAAACTTAAAAATATAAAAAAAGATTTGGTTTTTAAATTTTAAGTTTTTTTAATTGATTAAACTGAAAGCCCATGAGGTTAAGTAAAACCCCTCTTTTCTTTCCTAAGAATAAATTTATCTATATACGATATATACAATTGTTTGACAATTAGCATAAAAAAGGTCTACAACTTAAAAATATTTGCCAAAAAGTGTAAGCTACTCATTTTCAGCAATTTTGGGACCTTTTCTCATTTTAATTTTTAATTTCATCTTCTCCTCTTCTAGGTATCTTTTTTTTGTCTGAATTCATACTGGTTGTAATAATCCTACATCCATTTTATTTAACTAAAAATTTAAAGTTTGGGATCTAGATGCAATAACAATTTAAATAGCATACAGTTTGTTATTTCTGGCATTTAGAGAAGTTGTATAAATAATTTTTTTGTGTGTAAATAAATATATAAATATAAATATGGAAAACTGAAAACATTTCCCAAAATTTAAAAAAATAAAACTATAAAATAGAATAGAATATACAAAATTTATCAAAATAAATAAGAACTTAAAGTTTAGATTTTCATGCAATTATATATTTTTACATGACAATTGTTTCGACAACACCGGGTCTTTATTTTTTATTTACTACAAACTACCTGCTACTATATATACCGTAAAATGACCATAAAAGCATAATTAATGTTGTTGTGAGAATTTAACTTCAATAAAGGAGAGGTATTTAAATCTAACTCCATGGCTTCCAATAAATTTAATTTTCTACTTTTTGTGACTGTATGTAAAATACCAAATTGTCGTCAAAAATATGTTTTTCTGTGTTTAAGTGTGTAGCATAATTATAATCTAGACTATTGTTTTTAAAAGCTCTTTTATGTTCGTTAATGCGTTGATTGAAGGATCTACCTGTTTGTCCAATATAAATTTTAGAACAAGATCCGCATTTCAACCAGTAGACACCTGATTTTTGAGATTTTGGATATTTCGTTTTATTGTTTCTTAAAAATTTTCCTATTGTGTTTTAAGTTCTGAAAGCTCTTTTAAACCACATTTTGACAAATGTTTTGAAACTTTTTCACTAGGTTCTCCTATGTATGTAATTGATTTAAATTGTTCGTGTTCTGTATTAGGTTTCGGATAAATAGAGTTTGCTGTTGTTTGGATTTGTTTTTTATTTATAATTTTATCTATAATGGACGGATTGTAGCCGTTGTTCAGTGCAATTTGTTTAATGATATTAAGTTCTTTGTTGTAATTTTCATTAAGAAGTCTGTGTATAAAAAAGTGAAATGCAGCCATTTTGTATGTATAGGGGTGATTTGAGCTGTTTTGTATGACTGTGTCCGTGTGCGAAGGTTTATGATAAATTGAAAAATCTAATTTGTTTTGCTCTTTCGTAATAGTTAAGTCTAAAAAATTAATAGAGTTATCCTGTTCAATCTCGATAGTGAATTTTATATGATTATTTAATGAGTTAATGTAATTTAAAAAGTAATTCAATTGTCTGTCCGTTCCAACAAAGCAAGCAAAAACATCATCCACGTATCTATCCCGCCATAGAAAACTTTTACTTAAAGGATGTTCTAGTATGATATTTTCCAAATTTTCCATAAAAAACTCTGCTAACAAAGGACCAAGTGGGTTACCCATAATCAAATCTTCTTTAGAGATGTAAATTTGTCCATTAAATTCAAAATAATTTTGGTCTAAAAATACTATTAAGCAATCTAATAAATCTATCTAGAAGGTATTTTGATATCTTTAATTTTGTTGATTAATTCAAAAGGGTTTTTTATTGCAAATTTTGATTTAAAATCTGTGTGGAACTTTAAAATATTTGCTAATTTTGTTGAGAGTTTAACTGCTGAAGCTCACAATAACACAAATTCTTACAACAACATTCATTAAGATTTTATGGTCATTTTTCGGTATATATAGGAGCATGTAGTTTGTAAATATTACATTTGATAAAGACACGGTGTTGTAGAAACAATTGTCATGTAAAAATATATAATTTCGTGAAAATCTGAACTTTTACTTCTTAGTTACTTTGATAAATGGATTTTCATCAAGTAAAAGCCACCTCAGCCCAATGCAAATTTTATGTAAGTTTAACAAATATAAAAATAAAATAAATTGGACTTAAGTCCAAATTTTATAAAGCACACCTATACTCAAATTGCTATTTATTACCTGAATAACAAAAATAAAAATTTAAACAAATAAATTTAAAAATTATATTACTTTACTGTACTTATAGAAGAGCATATTACAAAAAAAAATTAACTGCATTAAAATGGACCAATTATATTTAGAATTAAAATTGATTAATTGAATATTAAAATAATTGAGGAAACGACATACCGTAACTGTATGCTTGTTAGAATTATTGGCGAGAATATATATAAAAATTTTATTAAATTTGTTTGCTGAATTGTTCTAATTGACCAAATTTAATTTTTAAAATCTGATATGCCTTTTATCTTTAATCCGAATAAGTCCAATATGCGTGCGTGCAAAGCAAAGTAATGGTTTTTATTGGCAAAACAAACCATCAAAAATATATAATTATAACACTTAAATGTTCCTCCGAATGTTGAAGATAAATAAATTCGAAAATTAGTTTCAAAGAATAATGAAGCCACAGAGAATCCTTGCAGCAAATATACGAGTCGATTATTTTTAGCCTCGCAGTTTCTGAGAGGGCGCGGTCCGGTTGGAACTCTCGCTCCTCCATTACAAAGTAATTTCCATACGCGTCCTCCATTACAAGATTAAATCGCCTTCAACTATCCCAGGGGACTATTATTTAATTACTTCCTGTCCCGATTGCAAAATATCGCGATGCGGCGCGACGGACGCCTCTGGCAAATTTAATTGTTTGCCCCAAAACACAATCGTTTTTTGTTGGCATGCGTTGGCTATGCTGTTAACGATAGTGTTCTCCTTTTGCGGGGAACGGGGAGGGGGAACGTTCATTTTATTAAGTGCCGGTCTAAGTTTCACTTTACAATCGGCCCCGTCGGAGGTGGGGGTGAATTCGTAAAGATTAATTCGAATTTGTTCCCGGGGTTTTGATTACTCCGCCGGCGAGGAGAGAAGAAGAGGTGTAAGCGACTATTAAAGTTTGGACGCGAAATAAGAGATCTTTGTGATTGATTACCGTACCGAAAAGAGAGGGGGCAGATCGCTACGTAACCCAAAACGAATTATAATTAATTAATATTGATAACGCTATAAAGTTTTATTTAATATGTATCGGTGTAACTAATTACTGCAAGCATTGAAAGTGAAAGGCGCGGGGATATCTTCTTAGTTATTAGAAGCCAACAATATCGAAGTTGTTTTGTCCATTATACTGTTTACAAGAGGTGTGTTCAAAAAGTAAGGCGAGTTTTAAGTTTTATCAAAAAGTGTTTATTTATTTACCAAAATTATTGTTGTCCCTTTCAAAGTTATCCCCCCATATGCCAACATTTTTTCGAATCATCGAAGCACTTCTGGTAAGCGCTTTCTGGAATGGCATTGAGTTCTTCCAGCGATATTTTACGTAGCTCCTCAATCGTTTCAAACCTCCATTCATGGGTTTTTTAAGTTTCGTGAAAAAGTCGCAGGAGGTCATATCCGGTGAATATGGTGGCCGAGGTTTTGTTTTTGGCCAAAAAGTCAGACACAAGCAACGATGAGTGAGCAAGTTCCTTATCGTGGCCCATAATCCATGAATTGTTTTCCCACAATTCCGGACGTTTTCTTCGTATTGCTTCTCGCAAACGGCGCATAATTTCAGGGTAATACTCTTGGTACTACGCCACGATAATCAAAGAAATCAGTAAGCAAAACGTTAACGTTTGATCGAACGTGAGGTGTTTTTTTCGGTCTTGGCGATTCTGGATTCTTCCATTGAGACGACTGGGCTTTGGTTTCGACGTCATAACCATATACCCATGAT